AAAAAAAAAAAAATCTACAACCATTTTTTTAATAAAAAAAAATTAGTTTATTATTTTGCTTTGTTGAAATTATCCATAGTGACGACTCGTCGCACGTACCAAGAATTTACGTAAAGAAAGGCAACAAACCAACAAAATATTTTTTTAATACAAAAAACTAACTTATAAAAATTAAGCAGATGGAAAAAAAAAATTATCAGTGAGATTTGAAAGCTGGCATGTTTGGCTAGAGCAAAAGACTTAGCCCACAAGGCTATCGTCAATCGTACTCGTACAGTACAAGATGTCATATTAAAGTTTTGAGAAGTGGGCGGGGCTTAGGTTAAAGGCCTAGGTAGGGGGGATCTTCCACTTCAGCTTGCTCTATGGAGAGAGGATGATTGCGCACTGCGCATGCGGCGGACTCCAGATAATCTGAGAGCCTTGGGCGCATTGGACTTAACACAGTCGCTTATGGGGACAATTATATCCTGCACACTCTATTGCGCTCCATGTAACTGCAGCCTAAGTCTTAAGTTTTTTTGCGTGGCTGTAAAATTGCAAAAACAGAATAAAATGTTATTACCATCACGTAGAGTTTTTAAAAATTTCATATTCAGCGGCTTTTGGTGCCTAAACGTTCGTTATTAATTTTTTTTACTATGAACCGCCTAAAAGTTGATTGTGTTGAGCATCTTTTGCAATAGTGTGTACAAAAAATTTTTTTTTCGTACCAGATGTTTCATTCGTAAAGATTGCTTTTAATACTTTCAAATCATGCACTATAAATAATATAATTTGGCTAAGCGATTAATTTTTAGACACTAGAAATCGATTGTTTTATATTCCGGAGTGTACGAGAACGCTGTCGAATTTTTTTAAGACCCAGATGTGGATGTGGCTATTCGATACTAGGTTATTCGGCTGATTCGTGAAATAAATATATAAATTTTTTTTAAAACTTCACTATGCTTATGAGATTATGCCCAATTGATAGGAAATCTTGAAAAAAGGCAAAAAAAATCGTCTCCCAGAGACTTTTTTTTTCATTATTAATATTTTTTGAACTAGTACTTAAATATTATAGCGCGCCGCCCGCAGGCTGAAAAAAGAAAATCCAGTATCGTTGCTGCCTCTCCTCATTCACATCGCCCCTCTCACCACGCCACACTCAACATATAGGTGTACCCTATGCAAAAGCGTACAGGCACATACTACTACTAGTACTACTGTCATCATGTCCATCTATGTATATATAGCCAGCAAAATAATATCGTCTGCTTTTCTACACGCTCTGTCTCACTCACTCTCGCGTGACACACACGTATATATACAGAAAAACAGTTTATTGATTATATCAAAATTTTGAGTGCAACCTAATAGAGGTAAAAAAATCTAATCAATAGGAAATTTTCCGCTCTACATGCTGGTATTTTTATTTTTATCTTATCTTTTGACGTTTTCGAGATATTAGCGAAACAAGGTTTAGACGCTATTTGACGACAAGACTTACTCATCGAAATTTTTTATATTTTTCCCGTAATCGGCGATGTTGTTTACGTCTCAAAAGCACAAAATGTTTCCTTTAATATGAATTAAGAGATTCAGCGGCTATTTTACTCGTCTAATAGTATAGATTTCAAAGCTTTTCATTTTTTTTTCCTTCAACTGACTTGTTCTTGTGATATTAGTGTTCGGGTATTGCAGTACTGCACTTATTGAAGCAACCAAGAAATCTTTTGTTGAGTTGAATTAGTCTGGTATACAGACTATTTCTTTTCACTGGTTTCGAGGTAACAAAGTAGATTTTATTTTAAATACTTAGATTTTTTTAGAAGTTTTTGACCACACTTGCGAAATCATGTGCTGTACTAAAAAACTTAGAGAATATGATTATGTATTTAAATGTTACTTCAGATATTAATTTGCAAACCCTTGCATTTGATTGTTTAGCCCTAAAGTTTCTAAAATCGTGTGTGGATGTGCATAGGCATGTGTGCATAAATAGACAATAAAGTTGGAACAAAATGTGTTAAAAATAATTAAAGTTTTATTAACTTGAATTAAGATCGTTGGGAATTAAAATCATTAAAACTTACAATTAAACTAAGTTTACCTTATGCTTACAACTTAACGGAACTATACAAAACGTGGATATTATATGTTTTACGAATTAACTGTTAATAGGATGGTAATAAAATAAAAATTAATACAACTATGTGCCTCAGTTAACTATAGTTGCATTTACATGTATCAAAAAATCAAAAAATTAATGTAAAATGTAGTGACGAACATTTAGTTACTTTTGTGTAAACATGTAACATAAGATTAAAGCGCACGACACGAAACAGAGAATGGTCTGATGCTTGACCCAATGCGTTAGACCATGCCTTAGAGAATATATACATGGAGGAAGCATTGTATGCTCCGACCGCGAGACGAGATGAGAGAGACAAAAGACAAATAGCAGTTTAACCTTTCTCTCTCTTACACGCCTCTGATTGGTTGGCCCCCTTCCGTATATATAGGTATAGTCGTATCCACGAGTGGCAGTCGTGGGGGAACAGAGCAGATATATGTAACCTAAGCTCTGATGAAAAAGAACTTATACATTACCAGAGAATATAGAATATATCCTCTTTAAGTATAGAAGGCCAAAGCGGAATTCCGAGCAATACACACTAAAACAATAATCTTCCATTACAACACAATTAAAACAACAAAATTTGAATAAAAATTTCCAATTTTAATTAAAGCCCTCATACCTGGTTAAACAGTTCATGTATGGCTAATGACTCAGTTAGAATGTTTGTCATCGATAGCTGAGCGGTCAAGAATGCTCGATTAGCTTTTGCGCTCTGGGCTTCGAATCTGACCTATGCTTTTTTTTTTAGGTATACATTTTCATAATGCTTGTTTTATTACGTTTCGTTTGTTTATAATTTTTAT